TTCCACTACTTATTTTTCTGATCACTTTTTACTTCTACTTCTTACATGTTGAACACAAATACCTGTACTTTCTACTTCTTACATGTTGAACCCAAATACCTGTACTTTCTACTTCTTACATGTTGAACACAAATACCTGTACTTTCTACTTCTTACATGTTGAACCCAAATACCTGTACTTTCTACTTCTTACATGTTGAACCCAAATACCTGTACTTTCTACTTCTTACATGTTGAACCCAAATACCTGTACTTTCTACTTCTTACATGTTGAACACAAATACCTGTACTTTCTACTTCTTACATGTTGAACACAAATACCTGTACTTTCTACTTCTTACATGTTGAACCCAAATACCTGTACTTTCTACTTCTTACATGTTGAACCCAAATACCTGTACTTTCTACTTCTCACATTTTCCAAACAGGCTGGTTCCTTTAGTTTGAATGTGTGTTTGGTGGCGTGATCATTATTCTTTAGAGTCATTGCGTGCCTATTGATTTGAACACGATCCGTGTATCCATCATTTCCTGGTCTTCTCTAAAGAAGAGGGACCAATGAAAACGTTGTCATGTTGCCGTTGTTCAGCATGGAAACATTCATTAGCTAACAATGACATTATTGTTCTATTAATATAAAGGGAGGTCAGGTACTCTTTAAAACAGCTGCTAGTTATGGGTACTTTTTACTGAAGTACATTTCAAAGCCCTCTTTACTTTTACTTAAGAAGTTTTACCAGAGTATTTCAAACACGAGTATCTGTACTTCTACTTGAGTAAAGGATGGAGGCGTGTGGCGCAGTGGATAAGTGCATTGGTGTTCGGATCAGGGGAGCACAGGTTCAAGCCCCACTGCAGTCAGCATGTCGTCCCTGTGGGGGGTTGCCCACAGTATTGAGTATGGAAGCTTTGGATAAAAGCGTCTAACAAGTGACATGTAATGATTCAAAAAGCTTTTGAATATTGAATAACAAACCAATGTGGTTTACTTGTTATCCACAGTTTAGCTGCTAAATGTTTTTTAGCAATGCTTTTCTTTGTGCTCCACATATCTAAATGTATAAAGTGTGTTTTCACCTCCGTTCCCTCCTGTTTGCTGCAGTATGGCAGCAGCGGTCAGGATGGTAGTCCTGAGGGTGTGGAGCTGCCTACTCTCAGCGGGGGGGAACTGAACGTGGAAACTGTGTTTCTCTGAGGGATCCTCCATGTAGTCTGAGAAGCCTTCTGAGGAAACAAGGTCAAACTATTTAGGATAATACAAGGAACAATGTTTAGGCAGTAAATAGAATTTCAATTACATTTCTACTTCTACATTGTGCAAAAATATTAGAACATCAGTCTTTGTGGCATGCAGGTAATCAACTGTTTAAGCTTTTACCATTAACATGTAGAATGAATGTTGCAAATTACTTGAAATTATAGCAACTACAATCTATTGTTTACCTCAGTGTAGCCACAGAGGTCCAGCTAGCATGCTAATTGCTAACGTTATATTATCGTGTTATCCCGGAGGGGAAAACTAGTTTCTAATCCTGAGAGAAACACCTCGCCTGAAACACACGATTAGTGCCATGAGTTAGTGAAGCAAATTACAGAACATTGCACACTTATTCACAAGTCAAAACGTGTTCATAGCGGGCACGGCTGAGAATAGCTAGCTAGCTAGATGTTGTGAGCCAGCTTGGACCTAACGTTAGCAAGTTCTAGCATGGCTAGCTCGATCTACTGAGCAAATAAAAGTACATCTAAGACCAGTATTGTGCAGATTAAAACAGTGCAGTGCATGTCTTTTATTTTACCTTCGTAGTCGTCCCGACATGACTTTGCCAGGTCTGCTAACTTTGCTGATCCACTGAAACTGCATGCAGTAGAAGCTTCTTGAATGCCGCACTTCGCGTCCTCCAAGTAAATCGGCAGAAGCGCCGAGACATCCTCATCAATTCCACCGCTCCGATGATTTATTTAGTGTTGCTATAATAACTGCTTTCACAAAAGTAATCTCTTCGGGTAAACGAGCAAATACAATGGCCGCTTCCAAAAAAAAAATCAGAGTCAAACGTGCGTGGTTTGCATTCCGCACAGCCAATCAGACGTACGAACTGTTTTCTCCAACAACAGACCCTGCTCTGTAGCAGGGGCTGAAAAGCGGGTCGGACGAACTCATTTGAGCTACTTTAGTTCCTGGGGCTTTTTGGTGTGAACGCAAATATATCGTAGTTCTGATGAACTATTGTGGGAAAAGTACACCAAAGTACTCCGGTGTGAACGCACCTATTAACTCGTGACGCACCTCGTCCCTCTTACAATCAACCAATCACATTCTCCTAAACTAATTCTGCTGCTGCTGCCACTGCTGTGTTCACTTGCTACTGCTACGTTGTCGTTCATGTTCCTGCTGCTGTGTTTCCCCACCCCAGCTGCTTCCACCCCAGCTGCTTCCACCCCAGCTGCAAATGAGATCAAACAGTATTCAGAAGACTCCGGAGTTTTCTATAAAGTGAAGCGACAGAAAAACGACGCTAATTTTCTCTAAATTTACGAATGTAACAGTTTATTTCTCGTTAATTGACAACCTTCATCTTAAAGATTTCTTCGGTTTACTATTATTATCATTTATCCTTGAATTCCTTAATATGATATATTATTAAATGATTTAAATTATATAAAAAATAACCAATTCAAACATGATACATGACGTGCAAATAAAGTATAGTGTTGAACTGATAATAATGTGTAAAGAGAGCTAGTCAGAAACAGGGCGAGGCTCCCTCAGGGTTACTTTGAGGAGTTTGATCGTTAATGCAGGAATGTGTGTGTGTGTGTGTGTGTGTGTGTGTGTGTGTGTGTGTGTGTGTGTGTGTGTGTGTGTGTGTGTGTGTGTGTGTGTGTGTGTGTGTGTGTGTGTGTGTGTGTGTGTGTGTGTGTGTGTGTGTGTGTGTGTGTGTGTGTGTGTGTGTGGGACCAGAGGCTGATCTCCCGCTGAACACATTACAACATAATACAATAACGTTTCTAACATTTTTAATACTTTAACTCCTGGTTTCATTTCCATTTAAACGCAGTATTTTGCAGTGTAGTGTGTACTTGTACTGCAGTACTGGATGCCGCTAACATTAATATATATATATATATATATATATATATATATATATATATATATATATATTTAGTGCAGAGCGCCACCTGCTGGCTGATTTAGCTCACTGAGAAAACACTGCAGCAGATTTTGGAAGAAGGTTCTTTTGGCTCATTAAAACATTTACTACTGAAGTACCAACTCTTCATCACCCTTCATCACTCTTCATCACTCTTCATCACTCTTCATCACCCTTCATCACTCTTTATCACTCTTCATCACTCTGAGAATGTTTCCTTATATTTTTAACATTTCTTTGGACTTGTCTCCATGTATTTTTTAATGAATATGAATATATATATATATATATATAATAAATGAATAAACACATTGATGGATCAATCATTATAACTTTGGTGTTATTTTGTTTCTACTTTTAAAAGCCTTTGATATTATCCTTATTATGAACCTAAATGTATCGTCTGGTGGTACGCTGCTTCATCGTCCCTTTATCTGTGTGCGGGAAGAACACTAACGGCCCGTCCACACGGCAGCGTTAACACATCTTCCAACGCTTCTGCCATTCACTTTGAATGGGGTGACGTCACTTTGCCTCACTTTTCGCCGAACTGCATTGTGGGAAGCAGAGCGGAGATTTTCAGGATTTTCAGGATTCAAAAGTTGAGCAATGTTCAACTTTTGAAGCTGAGGTGGAAGCGTCAGCCAATCAAACGGCGTGTATGCTGGGAGAGACATACCGCAGGTCATTTCCTCATATTCCAAAACATGGAGGAGAAATGAGCGGTAGGGAATCACCCGGTGCTTTAGGACCAGTCCCTATTTACCTACCGGGATACAAACCGGAGGAGCCAGGCATGGAGGGAGGTGGCAGAGACAGTGGTAGCTTTTCGCCTGGAGTTTATATCCAGTTTACTTCGGGCTTTTTTGCTTCGTATGTCGGGGGCGGGAGATTCATGTGATTGGTTGTTGGTCGCGTTGCTCGCAAAAAATCCCCAAGCTTCAGATACGCCCACCTCCAAGACTTTTTTAACGCTGCTGTGTGGACGGGCCGTAAGAGGAGGAGAGGAGGAGAGGAGGAGAGGAGAGGAGGAGAGGAAAGGAGGAGAGGAGGAGGAGGAGGAGAGGAGAGGAGGAGAGGAGGAGAGGAGGAGCAGTGAAGGAGGAACAAAGGTGGGTTTCAAACTCGTTTTTATTTAACTTCTGTTGATTTGTAAAATCATCTCTCAATTATCTTCAGAAACAAGCTGCAGGAGTGTGTGTGAGAGTTAATGTGTGAGAGATAGTGTGTGAGAGTTAATGTGTGAGAGATAGTGTGTGAGAGTTAATGTGTGAGAGATAGTGTGTGAGATAGTGTGTGAGAGTTAATGTGTGAGAGATAGTGTGTGAGAGTTAATGTGTGAGAGTTAATGTGTGAGAGATAGTGTGTGAGAGTTAATGTGTGAGAGTTAATGTGTGAGAGATAGTGTGTGAGAGTTAATGTGTGAGAGAGTGTGTGAGATAGTGTGTGAGAGTTAATGTGTGAGAGATAGTGTGTGAGAGTTAATGTGTGAGAGATAGTGTGTGAGATAGTGTGTGAGATAGTGTGTGAGATAGTGTGTGAGAGAGTGTGTGTGAGATAGTGTGTGAGAGATAGTGTGTGAGATAGTGTGTGAGATAGTGTGTGAGAGATAGTGTGTGAGATAGTGTGTGAGATAGTGTGTGAGAGATAGTGTGTGAGATAGTGTGTGAGATAGTGTGTGAGAGTGTGTGAGATAGTGTGTGAGATAGTGTGTGAGAGAGAGTGTGTGAGAGATAGTGTGTGAGGATAGTGTGTGAGAGATAGTGTGTGAGATAGTGTGTGAGATAGTGTGTGAGATAGTGTGTGAGAGATAGTGTGTGAGATAGTGTGTGAGATAGTGTGTGAGATAGTGTGTGAGATAGTGTGTGAGATAGTGTGTGAGAGATAGTGTGTGAGATAGTGTGTGAGATAGTGTGTGAGATAGTGTGTGAGAGATAGTGTGTGAGAGATAGTGTGTGAGATAGTGTGTGAGATAATGTGTGTGAAATGTGTTTTTTCTAGTATGTAAAGAGTGTCAGTAAAGCCACATGCATTCAGAGAGAATATTTAAATGGTTAAAAACAGAGAGGCTCATGGGTAACGCGGGGAGGATGGAGGACGTTTCAGATCAAAGATCTTCTCTCTCTGGACGACTGCAGGAACCCACTCTGAGAGAAGACAGAATACATTCATTAAAATTAACATGAAACATCTGCATTCATGTAAACCTGACATGAGTCAGCATTATGAGTCCTAAACCCTGACATGAGTCAGCATTATGAGTCCTGACCCGAGTCAGCATTATGAGTCCTAAACCCTGACATGAGTCAGCATTATGAGTCCTAAACCCTGACATGAGTCAGCATTATGAGTCCTGACATGAGTCAGCATTATGAGTCCTAAACCCTGACATGAGTCAGCATTATGAGTCCTGACATGAGTCAGCATTATGAGTCCTAAACCCTGACATGAGTCAGCATTATGAGTCCTGACATGAGGTCAGCATTATGAGTCCTAAACCCTGACATGAGTCAGCATTATGAGTCCTAAACCCTGACTTGAGTCAGCATTATGAGTCCTGACATGAGTCAGCATTATGAGTCCTAAACCCTGACATGAGTCAGCATTATGAGTCCTGACATGAGTCAGCATTATGAGTCCTAAACCCTGACATGAGTCAGCATTATGAGTCCTAAACCCTGACATGAGTCAGCATTATGAGTCCTAAACCCTGACATGAGTCAGCATTATGAGTCCTAAACCCTGACATGAGTCAGCATTATGAGTCCTAAACCTTGACATGAGTCAGCATTATGAGTCCGGACATGAGTCAGCATTATGAGTCCTGACATGAGTCAGCATTATGAGTCCTAAACCCTGACATGAGTCAGCATTATGAGTCCTGACCCGAGTCAGCATTATGAGTCCTAAACCCTGACATGAGTCAGCATTATGAGTCCTAAACCCTGACATGAGTCAGCATTATGAGTCCTGACATGAGTCAGCATTATGAGTCCTAAACCCTGACATGAGTCAGCATTATGAGTCCTGACATGAGTCAGCATTATGAGTCCTAAACCCTGACATGAGTCAGCATTATGAGTCCTAAACCCTGACTTGAGTCAGCATTATGAGTCCTGACATGAGTCAGCATTATGAGTCCTAAACCCTGACATGAGTCAGCATTATGAGTCCTGACATGAGTCAGCATTATGAGTCCTAAACCCTGACATGAGTCAGCATTATGAGTCCTAAACCCTGACATGAGTCAGCATTATGAGTCCTAAACCCTGACATGAGTCAGCATTATGAGTCCTAAACCCTGACATGAGTCAGCATTATGAGTCCTAAACCTTGACATGAGTCAGCATTATGAGTCCGGACATGAGTCAGCATTATGAGTCCTGACATGAGTCAGCATTATGAGTCCTAAACCCTGACATGAGTCAGCATTATGAGTCCGGACATGAGTCAGCATTATGAGTCCTGACATGAGTCAGCATTATGAGTCCTAAACCCTGACATGAGTCAGCATTATGAGTCCGGACATGAGTCAGCATTATGAGTCCTAAACCCTGACATGAGTCAGCATTATGAGTCCTAAACCCTGACATGAGTCAGCATTATGAGTCCGGACATGAGTCAGCATTATGAGTCCTAAACCCTGACATGAGTCAGCATTATGAGACCTAAACCCTGACATGAGTCAGCATTATGAGTCTAAACATGAGTCAGCATGATGAGTCTAAACATGAGTAAGCATGATGAGTCTAAACATGAGTAAACATTATGAGTCTAAACCCTGACATGAGTCAGCATTATGAGACCTAAACCCTGACATGAGTCAGCATTATGAGTCCTAAACCCTGACACGAGTCAGCATTATGAGTCCTAAACCCTGACATGGGTCAGCATTATGAGTCTAAACCCTGACATGAGTCAGCATTATGAGACCTAAACCCTGACATGAGTCAGCATTATGAGACCTAAACCCTGACATGAGTCAGCATTATGAGTCCTAAACCCTGACATGAGTCAGCATGATGAGTCCTGAACCCTGACATGAGTCAGCATTATGAGTCTAAACCCTGACATGAGTCAGCATGATGAGTCCTGAACCCTGATATGAGTCAGCATGATGAGACCTAAACCCTGACATGAGTCAGCATGATGAGTCCTGAACCCTGATATGAGTCAGCATGATGAGTCCTGAACCCTGACATGAGTCAGCATTATGAGTCTAAACCCTGACATGAGTCAGCATGATGAGTCCTGAACCCTGATATGAGTCAGCATGATGAGACCTAAACCCTGACATGAGTCAGCATGATGAGTCCTGAACCCTGATATGAGTCAGCATGATGAGACCTAAACCCTGACATGAGTCAGCATGATGAGTCCTGAACCCTGACATGAGTCAGCATGATGAGACCTAAACCCTGACATGAGTCAGCATGATGAGTCCTGAACCCTGATATGAGTCAGCATGATGAGACCTAAACCCTGACATGAGTCAGCATGATGAGACCTAAACCCTGACATGAGTCAGCATGATGAGACCTAAACCCTGACATGAGTCAGCATGATGAGTCCTGAACCCTGAATCAAGTCTGAGGTTAACAGAAGCTGAAGAGATGTTAGCGCTTAGTTGAGCTGATCCCTCAGTCCGCTCTCACCTACTGAGCCGTCTGCTCTGCAGCTCCTGTCTTCTGGAGGTCGGCCTGCAGGAGCACAGAAAACACGCCTGAACCCAAACTGCAGAGAAATCATGAATATAGAAACCTCCAGAGAACACTGTGTTTATGTGAAGAGTAAAACACGAGTATTCACTTTGGACCAAAGAAATTCAACCATCTTTTCTAAAAAGAATAAAACTCATTTGAATGTTAATTGTTATTGTTTATTGTGATAACTCTGAAACACCAGAATGATGTTCTGAACCGGTACAAACAGCTTAGAAACACTTTAAACTGCATTACAAAGTTACAATTATCATATTTATAGGAAATAAGCTACAAAAATAGAACTATTTTTATTTAGAAAAAAGTTGTTAGTAAACTACGGGAGGGGACGAGGGTCACGTGACATTTATTCTGACATCTGAGAATTCTGTAGATTTTTTGCAAAAAAAAAATTCTGAAATTATTTCGTCTAGAATTTAAAAAAAATATATATTAATTTTTTTCAGTTTTTTTTCTGATTGTTTGGTTTTTCTGAAAATCTGAAAATTCCAATTATTTATCTTTTTATCAGACTTTTATGTTTAAATTGAGAATGAAAATTAATTTTTCTGAAAAAGGTTTTAAAATTATTTTATTTCCCCTTTTATTCCGAATTCATTTTCTCTGAAAATTGTTTTAATTAAAATTCTCTCTTTTTTTTCTTAACTTTAAAGAATACGGAAATACTAATCAGAATTTTTCTGATTAGTATTTCGATAAAGAAAAATCTGGAAAAAAACGTTAGGTCAGATCTCAGAAATTATTTCCCATTTGTCCCTAATCCCCTCCCGTAGTTAGGAAAGCATTAAATGAATTAAAAGAATATTAAATGGATTAATTAAAACTATTTGTATTTTTTTGCAAACGACATACCATGCACCTCTCTACACTAAAGTATTGATATGTGAGGGATAATGTGCAGCGAGGCGGTCATTCTGCGTAAAAGACACCCGACAGGCGGATCAGTGCATCAGGAGCCCGACGCGAATTACAACAAAGTAACGACATGACTCCCAATATTAATTGAAATGCTTTTATAGATTTAGAAAATGTTGTCATTGAATTTAAAAAATAGTAAAATTATTGATTTAAAATGACATGCATCCGCAAAGAGAAATAGTCCGTTGTTACCGTTTGGACTACGTGGCAACGACAGGAAGTGCTTCAATAGCGTTTTTGAGGATCTTTTTGATTACAGATTTGAAAACATCGCTGCTTGCTTTAAAAGTAGCACACTTCATGATGTCAGACCTTGGGAAGGATCTAGATACCCCTGCCCTCATGCCAAAGGAACTGCACACTGAATATGTGTCGCCGTCTGATGTCTGTGTCTGGACCGCTGCGTAAAAAGGAGGGTTCCTGCCCCGTTACCTCTCCGCTGTTTCCTTGGCCCTCTTGTCTTTTTATTTTCTTCGCCGGGGACTCATCAGCCACTAACCATTCATCCAAATGACTGTGCTCTCCAAATATATTCAAATGAATATTAAAATCCTCCATGTTGCTCTCAGACGGGAGACAACGGAAAACTAAAGACAAGCAAACAGTTTTCCAAACTGTATACAGATCAATCGACCGGACTTCTTTCTGCAGAAGTGAGCGTCCTTAGCAACGGTCAATAAATCAGCGGTCTGTCCTACTGGATTAACAACGTGTCACGTGTTCTGAATTGACCAATCAGAATCGAGTATTCAACTAAACCATGTAATAAATATACTGATTACACAGGGAGAAGGTGGCAATGTCCTGAGAAACAGAATGTGTAATATAATAGTATATTATAATAATTATGGGATTTAAGTTTTACATTTTCCGAGAAAAGTGCTCAAAGAGTTATCGGCCAAGAAAGTGAACTAAGTTATAATCATCCAGTAAAAATAGAAAGAAATAATTTAACAATGAAAACATAAAATTGTGTTTTAGGTTAAAAACGTTTTTTGTCAGACAACGAAGCTGTGATTCCTGAGAGCGATTCAACGTTAGATCAGCCAATCAGCTTCATGCCATGCAATCACCCCACCACCCCTCGACCAATAAGGCACCTCCTCAGACACTGCTCCCGCCTCCTCCTGTTCTCAGCCAATCAGAAGAAAGAAAGACATCAACACAACACACTTAATAACTTAAACATTTTTGTCCTGTTTTGTTTATTTAACGTCACGTATTTATTTATTTTTTGCTCATTTTTAACTCGAAGAAATGTTATGTTATTATAAAAAAATGAAAGGTTTATGTTTTATTATTTATGAAGAGTTTTTAAAATAAGAATAAATAAAAACATTGAGTAAATATAGCAATTTAATTAGTAGTTGAATTATTAATAAGATTTCTGAATTTACAAAAATAAAAGTATTTTATTTCTGAACCTTTTTAGATTTTAATTTACTCCTTTATTCCCTTAATTCGAAAATGTAAAAAATAACGGGAAAACAGATATAAAAAAACCAGTAAAAATAACCACCATTTAAATAAATAATAACACATTAATAGACCTTTTTAGATTTCAGAAAAAAAGCCCCCCCCACTCACCGTGCTGACGAAGCCGCTCGCCATCGCCGCATTTTCCACTTCCTCCACCGCCGCCGTCGCTACCTCGTTAGCGCCCGTCACCGCCGAGTCGGCCACGACGTTAGCCTGCTCGTTAGACTTCTGCGCCACTGGAGAACCAATCAATCAATCAATCAATCAATCAAAGTGTATTTATATAGCCCAATATCACCAATGTTACATGTGTCTCAGAGGACTTTACAGTTTGTACAGAATGTCAATACAACCCCCTCTGTCCTCGGACCCTCACATCGGACAAGAGGCGCTTTCACACCGGAGTACTTTTCCCAGGAATAGTTCCGATAGTTCCTGGGATTTTGCGTTCACACCAAAAAGTTCTGGAACTAGAACTTTTTTTTGCAAACCTTTTCACCCCCAGATAGTCCCTGCTAGAGAGGTGGTACTTTCCTGGGAGAAAAAGGTTCCAATTTCTGATTGGCTGGGCGGATTGCAAACCACGCCCCGTAAAACTCTGAAAAGTTTTATGAAGCCGCCATTTTATTTGTTGGCATTAGCATTATTAGCATTAGCAATAGCCCCGCGCACCAACGGAGAGAGACTAACTTATGGCAACACAAAAGAAAACATGGGAGCGGTGGAGATGAGGAGGTATCGGCGTTCTGGTGATTTACTCGGAAGGCTTCAGTAGAAGCTGCTGGGAGTCCCAGCAGCTTCTACTGAAGCCAGTCCCCAACTCCGGGGACTTCCGGCCGGGGACTCCGGGTGGCAGTATACGCCGTGAAGTGGTTTGCGGCCTGCCAGTAAACCCAAAGCAGAAGAAGAAGAAGTGACGTCAGCGGCTTCATTTGACTAATCCTCCCCCAGGGACTTATTCCGGTGTGAACATGATCTGCTAGAAAGTTCAGGAAATAAAAGTTCGGGGGAAAAGTACTTGGTGTGAAAGCGCCTAAGGAAACAGTTCTAATTCAGATGTATTATTATTAATTAATCACAACAATCACAAGATGCTAATTACTTTAAAACTGGAGAATTCGCACCTCCTACGTGTGGTAGATCAACACTGCACTAAACACAGATATTAATCACACATATATATTACTTTAATACTTTATTTATTAAACATATAAAGCAATTGATAACCTGATTAAAACATTTGAAAAACAAAGTATTTTGTTGGACAATCCCAAAAATAAATCTGTCCAAATCTTAAATAATATATATATTTTTAATTGAAATTAAACGTATTTTTGCATTTCCCAAAACTGTTCTTGATCAAAGTTTCTTTCATTTAGCTTTAAAATATATTCTGTTTGATTGGAGACCTAAAGGAAAACTCCATCGCATCGTTCCTGACTTCAAAACGGACAAAATCACTTCATGCGTTTTCCAAACTTTGTACGAAGTCCTCTGTATTTTATTGGACTTCACAGTGTTAAGATGTTAGATTCTAAATGTTAGCAGATCATAAACTCCGACATCAGTTAGAAACTACGTCACGTTCAGAGGCTCTTACGTATTCTTAGTTAGTTTACCTGTGTTTACGCCCGTCACCACTCCCTCCATCGTCTTGTTTCCTGGAGAGAAGAAAGGAGAGGACTCTTTAAAGTAGAGACACTACATACTGATATACACCTGAACATCAGCAGGAGAGGACTCTTTAAAGTAGAGACACTACATACTGATATACACCTGAACATCAGCAGGAGAGGACTCTTTAAAGTAGAGACACTACATACTGATATACACCTGAACATCAGCAGGAGAGGACTCTTTAAAGTAGAGACACTACATACTGATATACACCTGAACATCAGCAGGAGAGGACTCTTTAAAGTAGAGACACTACATACTGATATACACCTGAACATCAGCAGGAGAGGACTCTTTAAAGTAGAGACACTACATACTGACATACACCTGAACATCAGCAGGAGAGGACTCTTTAAAGTAGAGACACTACACACTGATATACACCTGAACATCAGCAGGAGAGGACTCTTTAAAGTAGAGACACTACATACTGATATACACCTGATCATCAGCAGGAGAGGACTCTTTAAAGTAGAGACACTACATACTGATATACACCTGATCATCAGCAGGAGAGGACTCTTTAAAGTAGAGACACTACACACTGATATACACCTGAACATCAGCAGGAGAGGACTCTTTAAAGTAGAGACACTACATACTGATATACACCTGATCATCAGCAGGAGAGGACTCTTTAAAGTAGAGACACTACATACTGACATACACCTGAACATCAGCAGGAGAGGACTCTTTAAAGTAGAGACACTACACACTGATATACACCTGAACATCAGCAGGAGAGGACTCTTTAAAGTAGAGACACTACATACTGATATACACCTGATCATCAGCAGGAGAGGACTCTTTAAAGTAGAGACACTACATACTGATATACACCTGATCATCAGCAGGAGAGGACTCTTTAAAGTAGAGACACTACATACTGATATACACCTGAACATCAGCAGGAGAGAACTCTTTAAAGCAGAGACACTACATACTGATATACACCTGAACATCAGCAGGAGAGGACTCTTTAAAGTAGAGACACTACACACTGATATACACCTGAACATCAGCAGGAGAGGACTCTTTAAAGTAGAGACACTACATACTGATATACACCTGAACATCAGCAGGAGAGGACTCTTTAAAGTAGAGACACTACATACTGATATACACCTGAACATCAGCAGGAGAGGACTCTTTAAAGTAGAGACTCTACATACTGATATACACCTGAACATCAGCAGGAGAGGACTCTTTAAAGTAGAGACACTACATACTGATATACACCTGACATCAGCAGGAGAGGACTCTTTAAAGTAGAGACACTACATACTGATATACACCTGAACATCAGCAGGAGAGGACTCTTTAAAGTAGAGACACTACATACTGATATACACCTGAACATCAGCAGGAGAGGACTCTTTAAAGTAGAGACACTACATACTGATATACACCTGAACATCAGCTGGAGAGGACTCTTTAAAGTAGAGACACTACATACTGATAAACACCTGAACATCAGCAGGAGAGGACTCTTTAAAGCAGAGACACTACATACTGATATACACCTGAACATCAGCAGGAGAGGACTCTTTAAAGTAGAGACACTACATACTGATATACACCTGAACATCAGCAGGAGAGGACTCTTTAAAGTAGAGACACTACATCCTGATATACACCTGAACATCAGCAGGAGAGGACTCTTTAAAGTAGAGACACTACATACTGATATAAACCTGATCATCAGCAGGAGAGGACTCTTTAAAGTAGAGACACTACATACTGATATACACCTGAACATCAGCAGGAGAGGACTCTTTAAAGTAGAGACACTACATACTGATATACACCTGAACATCAGCAGGAGAGGACTCTTTAAAGTAGAGACACTACATACTGATATACACCTGAACATCAGCAGGAGAGGACTCTTTAAAGTAGAGACACTACATACTGATATACACCTGAACATCAGCAGGAGAGGACTCTTTAAAGTAGAGACACTACATACTGATATACACCTGAACATCAGCAGGAGAGGACTCTTTAAAGTAGAGACACTACATACTGATAAACACCTGAACATCAGCAGGAGAGGACTCTTTAAAGTAGAGACACTACATACTGATATACACCTGAACATCAGCAGGAGAGCACTCTTAAAGCAGAGACACTACATACTGATATACACCTGAACATCAGCAGGAGAGGACTCTTTAAAGTAGAGACACTACATACTGATATACACCTGAACATCAGCAGGAGAGGACTCTTTAAAGTAGAGGCACTACATACTGATATACACCTGAACATCAGCAGGAGAGGACTCTTTAAAGTAGAGATACTACATACTGATATACACCTGAACATCAGCAGGAGAGGACTCTTTAAAGTAGAGACACTACATACTGATATACACCTGAACATCAGCAGGAGAGGACTCTTTAAAGTAGAGACACTACATCCTGATATACACCTGAACATCAGCAGGAGAGGACTCTTTAAAGTAGAGATACTACATACTGATATACACCTGAACATCAGCAGGAGAGGACTCTTTAAAGTAGAGACACTACATACTGATATACACCTGAACATCAGCAGGAGAGGACTCTTTAAAGTAGAGACACTACATACTGATATACACCTGAACATCAGCAGGAGAGGACACTTTAAAGAGTTCCTAAATGTAAAGGAACAGCTGTGTGATGTGACCTGGTTTCAGCTCTCTGAATTATTAACAGCCGTCTGTTTGAAGCTGCTCGCTCTCTTCTCATCTGTTTCGTCCACTAAGCAGCTCAAGTTTCAGTTTTCTGAGAAGTCCACTCAGATCCCACTCTGACCAGATGTGATGCATAGTTCATGAGTCTGCAGGTTTGATCTCCTCTAATGGATGTGATGTCTAAATGTCTATCAGAGCAATTATAACCAATCAGCAGTCATCGGTCTGAATGCGTGGATAATGTACAGGTCGGTGAGCTAACAGTTGTTGATGGGAAGTCAGAAGACACAAATCTGCCGGAAAGACAAACAACAACAACTTACTTATTGTAAGTGCTTTGAATGAAAGCATCAGCTAAATGAAATGACGCAGAAAACGATACTCTAAAAGTGTTTTCTTAGCTTTTTAATTCAGAAATCATAAAGTGGAGATTATCCTGCTGAACTAAACGTGTAAGAATCATAAACGTTTGTTTGACACAGAGATTATTTTCTGACATTATCCAAAATCAAACGGAGGAATCCCATTGGACCAGGGAGATGCTGCCTTCAGGGTAATAAGACCAGCAGGACTCCATATTAAGCGTTTCCAAGTCGTATGGAACTGAATCAGACACATCACCAGGGACATCAAGTCATCTGCTTACGGGTGCATTTTGTCAGAAAAAGAAATAAGAACTTGCAGCCAATCAATGACATGTTTGCCTCGTGACACCATCTGTAATCTGGAGCCTGTGGGATCACCAGAGTTTCTGTTCAGATGTTTGAGATGTTTCTCCTGGTGGGCGACGAGATGAATCTGAGTCTTTGTCTGAGGAACAAACTGAAGCTCTGTGCTCCTGGCAGGAAGGGTTAGGGTTCATCTGCTCTAAAGGAAGTCATGTCTCACTCTTTATCTCTTATCCACGCAGTTATAATCAGTCAGCAATCAAAGGGTCTTTATCTTAGGAAAGTGTTCGGTGGAAGAGCAACAGTCTGATGATGGGAAGTCAGAAGGAGGGGCTTCTCTGGAAATGTCTACAATCAACGTAGAGATGAATACCCTCCAAGAAGAGCTTTGAAACGTCTGCAGAGAGATGTCTCATATCAGGGAAGAGGAGACTTAAGTTCACGAAGAGGTTTCAAAACGTAGAGACTCAAAGCGTCTGCGTCGAGATGCAGGACGCTAAACAGAGACATAAAGCATCTAGGCAGAAAAGAGAAACGTCTACGAAGACAAACGAAAGGTCACGAAGAGAAATGTCTAAAAGAGAGACGTGGACAAAAAGACGCAACGCGTCAGCATGAGGGACAAGACCAGCAAACACATCTACAAGAGGGTCTCACATTTCCCCACAAGGGTGAAGAATAGAGTTTTTGTTAAGAATATGACAAAGGTCAAAGGACTTGTGGGGAAGGGGAGATGATGAGAGGTCAAAGGACTTGTGGGGAAGGGGAGATGATGAAAGGTCAAAGGACTTGTGGGGAAGGGGAGATGATGAAAGGTCAAAGTACTTGTGGGGAAGGGGAGATGATGAAAGGTCAAAGGACTTGTGGGGAAGGGGAGATGATGAAAGGTCAAAGTACTTGTGGGGAAGGGGAGATGATGAGAGGTCAAAGGACTTGTGGGGAAGGGGAGATGATGAGAGGCAGACAGTGCTCCTCTCTGGGTTCAGACCACAGAACCTACTGGGCAGCGAGAGGCTGTTTCCTCAGACTCTCTTTTCCTCACAATGTTTCCTAACTCATGCAATCATGACCTTTGACCTGAAGCTCTGTGTCGGGGTTCATAAAGCTCGTCTCCACGGTGGATTCAAACGTCTCTGTTTTGCATTCTGAGCTGTGAAGATGTAAACGTTATGAATAACTTATAACGTGGCCTGTGTTTAAATACAGAACAAATTCAGTAGTTAGAAAGGGTTAATGTCTCCTGAGTGGGCGTGGTCTAATAAAACCCGTATTATATTAAGCTACCATTAGATATTAACACAGCTAACACATTAGCATCACAAATGTTAGTTGACGTTAGCTTAAAAGTTGACACAGTTTAGCTAACGTTGAAGGAACTGCAGCACGGTCACATGACTTCACGTCACCACCGCTAAGCTAAAGGTGGCTAATGTTGGGCTATAAAGGAACTACAGCACGGTCACATGACTTCACGTCACCACCGCTAAGCTAAAGGTGGCTAATGTTGGGCTATAAAGGAACTACAGCACGGTCACATGACTTCACGTCACCACCGCTAAGCTAAAGGTGGCTAATGTTGGGCTATAAAGGAACTACAGCACGGTCACATGACTTCACGTCACCACCGCTAAGCTAAAGGAGGCTAATGTTGGGCTATAAAGGAACTACAGCACAGTCACATGACTTCACGTCACCACCGCTAAGCTAAAGGTGGCTAATGTTGGGCTATAAAGGAACTACAGCACGGTCACATGACTTCACGTCACCACTGCTAAGCTAAAGGAGGCTAATGTTGGGCTATAAAGGAACTACAGCACGGTCACATGACTTCACGTCACCACTGCTAAGCTAAAGGAGGCTAATGTTGGGCTATAAAGGAACTACAGCACGGTCACATGACTTCACGTCACCACCGCTAAGCTAAAGGTGGCTAATGTTGGGCTATAAAGGAACTACAGCACGGTCACATGACTTCACGTCACCACCACTAAGCTAAAGGTGGCTAACGTTGGGCTATAAAGGAACTGCAGCACGGTCACATCTTGTAGACTCTACTTCTGTCGTCCCTGCTCCAAAGTCACTTCAACATCTTCAAGTGAAATGCTCGTTGTCAGAATGAATGATCAGGACTATTAAAGGAATAAAGGTATTCAGACCCCCGTCCTCTGCTAATATCTTCAGGTTCAATCTGACTGGCCCCTGCCTCTGTTTCCCTCGTGCTCTCTGCATCTCTCAGCCTACTCTTCTCCTCGTCGCTGCTCCACGATGTCAGGATGAATTGCATTTTTCCCGCACCCCCCCCCTCCTCCTCCTCTGCTTCTTTTCTAAACCACTCCCAGATTTCATATCTCCATGTTCAATTTGACCTTTTTATTCATCTTTCAGACTCTACTTTTCCTCTGCTCCAAATTCACTTAAACATCTTCAGATTTACAGCAGAACGTCACGATGAACTGGACATGTTCAGAATCAGCTTCCTGAGCATCTTCCTCCTCGTCCCCGCTCCAAAGACTCTTAAATATCCTCAAAGTAAATCCTCGATGTCGGGATGAACTGCACATTCTTCTCCTTCCTGTCCCCTCCCTTTAAAAACTCACAGAATTATATTTTCTTGTAAATTTGACTGCTTCTAAAACTAGTTCATGTTTTTCTTAGTTAACATGTAACTACTGAACTTCCCCACGGAGATTAGTCAAGGTCTTATCTAATCTCATCTCATCTCATTCAGCTGTCTTTGGCTCTTTTCTGCTGTAACAATCTAAAGTTCTCTGTGGGACGAATGAAGTTATTCTGATTCTGAAAAAACTAGTTTCTGAATTCAGATTGAATCCATGATGAAGTGCAAACCCCTTCCTGCCCCACCACCGCCTCCTTTTAAAACTCACACAGATGTTATCTTTTCGTGTTAATGTCTCTGCTTCTCTCTCTAAAACTAGTGTCTGAATGTCTCTTTCCCCCACGCGCCCCCTCCTCACCCACGTAGAAGACCCCGTCCTTGGTTTTGCTGGCGGCCTCGCCAACTCCGGCCTTCGTCTTCTCGGCTGCTGCCACAACGCCATCCTTCGCCATCGAGAAACCTTTCTTAAAAGCGTCCATGATCTTCTTCTGCTGCTTCTGCTTCTTCTTCTTCTGCTTCTTCTTCTTCTGCTGCTGCTGCTTCTTCTTCTGCTGCTGCTCGTCTGTCAGGGATCTGCTGCTCTAATGGACCACAGAGGAGGAGGGAGTAACACGGGACTGTTGCCTTGCAGAGGGGAGTGGTGAGGGGAGGAAACAAGTGCACGAGAAACACTAATGAAGAAGAGGAGGAGGATGAGGAGGAGGAGGGGGGGGGGGGTCCTGCATGGGGCTAATGCAGGGAAATGACTCTGCAGGGTGTAATAGAGAGAAAGGGAATGCACCTTGGAGGGTTTTTTTAATATGAGAAGAAAATCCAAGCGTAAAACGAGTAAAATACATCTAACAAATACATTAAATACAACATTTAAATACTCAGACAATTTCAGGTAAATATAATATATGAAAATAAATCAATGGAAGAAAAGAAGGGAAGGCATTTTGGAAAATATGTTTTAAATGTCAAGAAAATTAAAATATGAATAAAATGAGAAATGAGGACATTTCAATAATATAAATACAAGTTGAAAATAATTTATTTTTAGGACAAGTATAGCCTACTGCTGAAATATCAGAAAAATATATCTGAGAAAGTATCAGAGAAATGTCTGGAAAATAAACAAATACAATATCCTGAAAATATTTGGAAAATTGAAGAAAATCCTCTTTTAAATATTGTGATATATTTTACACTTACAGTATTGAAAATTATATATTTCCCCCCGCCCTGTCCTGAGAGAAACCTGAACATGACTCAGCAGACACACACACACACACACACACACACACACACACACACACACACACACACACACACACACACACACACACACACACACACACACACACACACACAAACACACCCTTGGCTCGCTCCCTGATTGGCTTACAGCCGTCGCCTGGTTTATTTTTGGACTCCATTTCATTAGTGTTTTCCAGCTTGGATCCCATCGGCAGAAACATTATGGGATGCTGTCCGCATTGATCAATACTGACACACACACACACACACACACACACACACACACACACACACACACACACACACACACGTAATGTCTTATTGATTTCTATAAATATGTCTCTAAGCACAAACACGTGCAGAACGGTCAAAATATTTCTGAAAAATACCCACATTCCTTTCAGTATAACTTCCCCCTGGAAAAACATCGGGACATGTATTTGATTTTGAAAACATCAGCAAAATGTGTAAAGATATCTTAAATAATGTTAACCAGGCTAACAGCAACGTTCTTTTCTTTAAACAACATTCAACAATACAACAAAAAAATGGTGTAGGTACAGCTGTATAAATACGTTTCCATCACTGCGTGAGTAGCTAACGTTAGCGACTGTATAGAAGTGACAACAACAAAGAAACGTTAGCTAACGTACATGGAGGACAGTCACAAGCTAACGTTAGCGACTGTATAGAAGTGACAATTACAAAGTAACGTTAGCTAACGTACATGGAGGACAGTCACAAGCTAACGTTAGCGACTGTATAGAAGTGACAATTACAAAGTAACGTTAGCTAACGTACATGGAGGACAGTCACAAGCTAACGTTAGCGACTGTATAGAAGTGACAATTACAAAGTAACGTTAGCTAACGTACATGGAGGACAGTCACAAGCTAACGTTAGCCACTGTATAGAAGTGACAATTACAAAGTAACGTTAGCTAACGTACATGGAGGACAGTCACAAGCTAACGTTAGCGACTGTATAGAAGTGACAATTACAAAGTAACGTTAGCTAACGTACATGGAGGACAGTCACAAGCTAACGTTAGCGACTGTATAGAAGTGACAATAACAAAATAACGTTAGCTAACGTACATGGAGGACAGTCACAAGCTAACGTTAGCCACTGTATAGAAGTGACTATAACAAAATAACGTTAGCTAACGTACATGGAGGACAGTCAGAAGCTAACGTTAGCGACTGTATAGAAGTGACTATAACAAAGTAACGTTGGCTAACGTACATGGAGGACAGTCACAAGCTAACGTTAGCCACTGTATAGAAGTGACAATAACAAAATAACGTTAGCTAACGTACATGGAGGACAGTCACAAGCTAACGTTAGCGACTGTATAGAAGTGACTATAACAAAGTAACGTTGGCTAACGTACATGGAGGACAGTCACAAGCTAACGTTAGCCACTGTATAGAAGTGACAATTACAAAGTAACGTTAGCTAACGTACATGGAGGACAGTCACAAGCTAACGTTAGCGACTGTATAGAAGTGACAATAACAAAATAACGTTAGCTAACGTACATGGAGGACAGTCACAAGCTAACGTTAGCGACTGTATAGAAGTGACAATAACAAAATAACGTTAGCTAACGTACATGGAGGACAGTCACAAGCTAACGTTAGCGACTGTATAGAAGTGACTATAACAAAGTAACGTTAGCTAACGTACATGGAGGACAGTCAGAAGCTAACGTTAGCCACTGTATAGAAGTGACTATAACAAAATAACGTTAGCTAACGTACATGGAGGACAGTCACAAGCTAACGTTAGCCACTGTATAGAAGTGACAATTACAAAGTAACGTTAGCTAATGTACATGGAGGACAGTCACAAGCTAACGTTAGCGACTGTATAGAAGTGACAATAACAAAATAACGTTAGCTAACGTACATGGAGGACAGTCACAAGCTAACGTTAGCCACTGTATAGAAGTGACAATAACAAAGTAACGTTAGCTAACGTACATGGAGGACAGTCACAAGCTAACGTTAGCCACTGTATAGAAGTGACAATTACAAAGTAACGTTAGCTAATGTACATGGAGGACAGTCACAAGCTAACGTTAGCGACTGTATAGAAGTGACAATAACAAAATAACGTTAGCTAACGTACATGGAGGACAGTCACAAGCTAACGTTAGCCACTGTATAGAAGTGACAATAACAAAATAACGTTAGCTAACGTACATGGAGGACAGTCACAAGCTAACGTTAGCGACTGTATAGAAGTGACAATAACAAAATAACGTTAGCTAACGTACATGGAGGACAGCAGGGCTGGACTGGCCATCTGGCATACCGGGCATTTTCCCGGTGGGCCGACGTGCCTTTTGGGCCGACACGTCATTTTTTTTTTTTTTCTGAAGTCCCGGCCCATAAGACGGGTAGATTGGCCCTCTGTTTAAATGTTTTTAGTAATTGACACTGGGCCGGCCCAATCAAATCTTTAATCACCTCCCCCTTTGGGCCGCTCGGTGTGCATCATTAAATCACGCCCCCAGGAGGTGAGCCGGCCGTTGAAGCCAAATCGCCTTTTTTTTCGAGAAAAAAAAAAGTTCGAGTTAGAAATGGAGAAGGCGAAGGCGAAGACGAAGGCCAAGCGAAAAGGGGGAGCAGAAAAATTGCGGGCAAGAAAAAAGCAGGCCCTTCGTGCTGATGTTGCCGCTTGTGTCAAAATAACCGACATGTTTAGTACAGGTGCAGGTCCATATTCAGCACCCGTGGCCGATATTGGTGGTGGTGGTGAGGAAGATGATGAGAGGGAGAGAGATCCGCGCGAGTGGGGAGAGGGAGGAGAACTCGCGGTAAGCAGAAGCTAAGAAAATTAGGAAAAGATTATTATTAAGGTTATGATACTCTGTAGTTCTGGAACCCATTAATATCCCCTTGATGAAGCACTAATAAGACAAATATTATAAGAGAAACATTCGTTAGCCTACAAGCTACAGTGGCGACTGGTCATTAGGGGCAGGTGGGGCACAGCCCCACCTAGTGTCAGCAGAAAGTATTACACATAATGATTACAAAAAATGGAAAGAGATGCAAAAAAAGAAATAAAAAAATATATAAAATATATTTTAAGGTCATGTTTAATCATCTGATTCGTCTGTACATTGCTGTTTTAGTCTGTGTTCTTCTAATTAGTGTCTACAGTGCCGTTTTGAGCCATGTGGGACAAAACCTGATCATGCCCCACCCTCTCACTGTCAAAGTGAACGGTGACTGTAAAAACTACACTGCGCATGCTCAGAGTATTTTTCAATGTAATGTGTGTGGCAAAAAAAAAACACCATAGGGGCACAGAGCTGCCATCCCCACCATACGTCATCTCACATCATTCAGAGCTGATTGGCTGTAAGTACGTGTGCCGCGAAAAGTGTGGTGTGTGAAGAGCATGGATGTATAATAAGAGGAGACGAGAGAGCTGCAGTGACGCGTCCTAAAACCAGGAAGTAAGCTGCAAAAAAGCAATGAGGTTTCTCTATAGGATTTTAGAAAATAGCTTGAAATAAGATCTGTGGGAAACGTACCTGTTAGATAAATGCACGTTTTGTTCAGCCGGATAACATCCACATGTCTACCCTACTTTTATCATTTTCGAATCATAAATCTATCGATTAGATTTATGATAGACTTTTGAAACTACAAGAAGACAAGGAGGACTTTTACAAAAAAGTAATAGAATTTTTTGTCCAGAAGGATAGGCAAATGGACTTCATCTTCAAGTCAAGGTAAGACCGCAATATTTTGAAAATGGGATCTTACTTAGAGAGAACAATTCAATATTTAAATGATCAAATTACATTTTTTGGGTATCCTTTTGTTGAACTGTCTGTTTAAAATTAATCGAAGCATCAGACAAAAAAGCTTTTGAAAATAATATTATATTTTGGTTTAGGTCAAAATATAATATTTGTAAACCTGAAGAGTCAGTGCCAGTGCCTCAGCAGCCATGAACCTCACTGCACGTCACTGCAGAAGCTTATATATAGACATCTACGTTTTTTGTGCCCCACCACTTTTGTACATATAAAAACGCCACTGACAAGCTAGTAAGCTGGCTATTTTAGGTTTTCCCTGGCAAGTTAAAATATAGCTTAATGGGACTCTGATACGTTGTCTCATTGAAAGAATGTCATTATTTTGTTAACCACCATTCATGAACAATCACTGTCAGCTGGCAGCTTGTTTTGTTTAGTTTATTTACTTATGTGTTTATAAGTGCAACAGTGGTCTTTTGGGACCTGAACAAAATGTTTATAGTCAGCTTTTTGTGGTAGTTTTGATTGACAATATATAGAATGAATAATATAGAAATAGAAGAAAAAATGTAGGCACACATGTAGTTTTGACCATTAACTGTGTGGTATTGTTATGTCAATGCCTATTTGTATGGACCTCTATCAGGGACCAAAGAGGTCACCTGCATCCTTTTTGACTCTCCCAAAGCCCCCCAACTACACTCACACATGCAAACAGACACACACACACACACACACACACACACACACACACACACACACACACACACACACACACACACACACACACACACACACACACACACACACACACACACACAGACAGTAGATAGTATTTTTGGTTAAACCTGTGTTCCTTCAGTTCTGTGTGCTCTGTGAGGTTCTGAGAAACCAGCCGCCTAAGACTTGCACTATAGCCCCTTGCGTGCGTCAATCAATCACATTTTATTTATATAGCCCAATATCACAAATTACAATTTGTCTCAGAGGGCTTCACAGTGTGTACAGGTACGACATCCTCTGTCCTGAGACCCTTGCAGCGCTCAAGGAAAAACTCCCCAAAACAGACCCCACAATTAACAGTGGGAAGTAGGAAGAAACCTCTGTGAGAGCAACAGAAGAGGGATCCCTCTCCCAGGACGGACAGACGTGCAATAGGTGTCGTGTGTACAGATGAAAAAGGCAATACAATTACAGCGATTAAAAAAAGGATGGAAAAATTAAATGAAAGCGTCAATGTATATAAAAAGATGCCGTCGACTCATCCTGTAGACTCATCTGGTCCTATCTCTATTGTGTTGTCATAGAAAGGGGAGGCAGGGCACTATAGGGTCCCCCCCCCCCCTAAATTCACTAGAAGTCATCATTTAAGGGGTTATTTTTAAAACTTTTCTTCTGTGGGGGGCATACCCCACCAGACCCCCCTATTAGTGCTCGGTCACTGTTCGCTTTGTGAGAGGGTTTGAAGGTCTAATTTCTAATGATTGATAGTTACACATACTTGTGGTATGTATTAGTTTTATTTGCCCCTGGTACGTAAAAAGGATAATAATAGCGTTTTTTTTAAATTATACTGAGTTATTCTTCTTGTCAGGAACCGCTACTATTCGTTTGTTTTATGGATTTGGGCCGGTCTGGGTCTAAATGCCAGGGCCGATTTGCTGTCCCAGTCCAGCCCTGGAGGACAGTCACAAGCTAACATTAGCGACTGTATAGAAGTGACAACAACAAAGAAACGTTAGCTAACGTACATGGAGGACAGTCACAAGCTAACGTTAGCCTGTATAGAAGTGACAATAACAAAGTAACGTTAGCTAACGTACATGGAGGACAGTCACAAGCTAACGTTAGCCTGTATAGAAGTGACAATAACAAAGTAACGTTAGCTAACGTACATGAGTGACAGTCCAACCCAGTCTCACGGCATTTCGTGTTATCGTCACGACATTTAATCTATTGATTCGTGTTCACCAACACGATTTCCCCCTTTTTTTCGTGTCACACAGAACGATTTTAAAAGCAATGTATTTCTATTGGTAGTGTGTTTCGTGCCTGCAACACGTCTTTTTGTCCGGTCGGGTCTTAGAAGACCGGAAGTTGTGGGGTTCATAAAAACATGTTCTTACTCAACATCAAGCCACGATTATTGTTTTTATTTTAAATCGTATAATGTCTGACTTTTTTTGCCTTCTGTGAGGAAAATAAATGGCTCAGAGCCTCAGGACACTGACATCTGTATTTTTTTCTAATTTGTTATTCTTTTCTAAATAACGCACTGTTATTTACTCAATAATAACACACAATTTCCTTGTTTTTGTTTATTTGTTTAATTACATAATCTCAGGCTTTTTTGGTGTCCGTCAGGAACTGAATTTCAAAATAAAAAGAACCGGAAACAGACGTAGGCCTATAAGGGACATTTCGAGCATCATTGCGATACACAGCCACTGAACTGATTACCCAAGATCCTCAGCTATGGTTTAACCTCGGTGATTGGATGTTTTAGCCGCAATGCACGTTGGGATATGGTGTTAATGCGATATCAAATCCGAAAAACATTTAGGTGTTTAGGATGGCCGAAGACACTACACTACCCATAATCCCCAGCTATCGTTTGGGACTACAGTGATTAATCTTCAAACTCTGGGATTGGATGTTGGAGTGGCAGTGCGCCAAGGTTACGCCGAGCGTCAAACAGCTCTTTGAAATGGAACGAAACCACGGTAGACTTTCCAAAACTGGATTCGAACGGGATCAGCCCCCCCCTCGCTTGTGTCCATAATGGGCAGCATTAATATATACCCACATGACAGCTCATTGTTACTTTATAATTCTACTCCACTACAATTCAGAGGTTAACCTGGTATTTTTACTCCACTACATTTATTTTAGTTACTTTGCAGATTCTGATTAATGATGTGAAATATAAACAACCCTTAAATCAGACTTTAGTTACACCTGAGTGAAATTCAGGGAAGGTGATTGTCAAGTGCCAACAATCAGGAGAGATATTAGATAGTTGCTGCTTGAGAAG